AGTAAGGTGCCTGCATGTGCATTGTACCATGTAGCTTGGTGATTGCCTAGGACTACAATATGTTTTTCTGTCAATTTATGTTGCTTATCATGTATATTCATAGATAATCAAGGGAAATCACATGTAATTTTTAATGGCTGCAAATTCTTTAATAGGGAAGAGAATTGAGAAACAGTTAAGTTTTGTGCTGGGCATAATAGAGAGCAAAACCACCTTTATCCCCAGCACAAAAGCCAGATTTAACAAGCCTTTATTAAGCACCTACCTATTATGTGCCATGAACTGTGCTGATACTTAGGATACAAATACACATAGTTTCTGTCTCTGAGCATGCTACATTTTACTACTAAACAACATGTACATTGAAAAATAGATACAAAACATATATTCAAAATACTGTAAATACAAAATAATTTTGTGGAGGGAACTCTTACAATGGAGGGGAGTAACAAACACCTCTCATAAGAGATAATACTTGAGCTGAACTTTTGAGATTGAACTGACCTTTGAAGTCATCAAATACAGCCCTTTCATTTTTACAGAGAAGGCACCCAAGAAATTGAGTAAGTTGCCCAAGGAATACAGAAATAAGTTTCTGAGTGGGATTTCAACTCAGTTCTTCCTAATTCCCAAGGCTCTAGCAAGTATGCAATGCTACAGAGGTCAGCCCCACACCTAAACTCTTACCCATTTCAACTATCAGTGTCTGTCACAGATGAAAACTGATCTCATGGAGAAATATTCCCCCAAAACATTAGCTGATAAGGGCTAACTGGCTGTGTGATCTTCTATAAAATATTTACCTCTCTGGGCCTCAGTTTCTTTTTCTGGAATAGTGGTCTCTAAAGTTCCTCCCAACTCTAACACTCTCTAACTTAGATTTTAAGGTGTCTTTCAACTCTGACATTCTGTGGTATTTTCTTAGATTCCCTCTAATGGGGACCTGGACCCCTAAAAGGAAAAGACCATGTCTTTGAAAGCAGCCTAGTCCCTGAACTTTCTCACACATTTCAGCAGCCCAGATAACTGGCATTTCTCCCAAGGCATCTAGCCCAACCCAGCCCACCTAGATACTCAATAATCCTTTTAACAGCCATTTCACTGTGGCTCTCTGACCACTTAACTCTTTTCCTTGTCTTCACTTGGCCCACCCCAGGCTATTTACCATTGCTTAATCCCATCCAGAACTTCTCACTGTCTTTTTTTTTATATGTATATAAGTATCAATCTCACCCCCATTAAGTTGCAGATTCACTAGGAATCTCTGCCTTTGGTGTTATAATAAACCTTACTACTTGACTGAAAGAAGGCTTAAGTGGTTGAATTCTTTCCAGGAAGACTCACGTTGTACCCTTACATTTTGGGGTTCCCAGCACCCCAAACTGCATCACCTCCACCATTGACCTTTCATGATTCTGTAATATAGACTCTGCCACTTTTCAGAGGAATTTGCAAAAAGACTGTTTAGACCAGAGATTCTTAACCTCTGGCCCATGAATAGATTTCAGGGGGTCCATAAAATTGAATGGAAAAAACACATCTTTATTTCAATATAATTAGTTTCCTATGAAATCCTGTGTATTTTATTTTATGCATTTAAAAACATTATTCAGAGAGATCCGTAGGCTTAACCAGACTGTCAAAGGGATCCATGACAGAAAGAAGGTTAGGAGCTCCTATTCTTTTAAGGGTAAATTGAAGTATAATTTTCTCACTTTCCTTATTTTTCTTGCTTTTTTTGACATGGCTAATATGGAAATGTATTTTGCATGATTACACATGTATAATTAATGTCATATTGCTTGCCTTCTCAGTGGGTAGGGAAGGGGCTAAAGGTAGAGAACTTGAAACTCAAAATTTTCAAAAAAAAATGTTAAAAATAAATTTAAAAAATAAGTACAAAATTTGGATGCCAATCTACCAAGGCACACTTTAAAAAAAAAAAAAAAAGCCCCTGTTCCATACCCAAAGAAATAAAACTTTAGTGATGGAATTCAAGGCACTGTAATAGGTAAAATGGGTAGTATTTGGGGCTTGGGAGGTGCCACACACAAAAAGACAGCAATTATACAGTGGAAATAACACTCAAATCAGAAGACTAAGGTTTGAGTCCAAGTATTTTAATTTACTGTAAGACCTTAGGCAAGTCCCTTTATAAGCCTTGAATTCTTCATCTGTAAATTGGGCATAATAATACACTTTTATAGACCACAAGAACAGGGAGGGACCTTAGAAAGCATCTACTGCAATGCTCTCATTTTACAAATGAAGAAACTGAAGTCTAGAGAAGAAAGTGATTTGCCTATGGTTACATAGCCTACAAGGGGCAGTCAGGATCTGAACCCAGGTCTCTCTATGTCCAGTGTTCTTTCTATTACCATGCTGCCTCCTTCCCTACATCTCATTGAGTTATGAAAATCAAATAAAATAATGAATGCAAAATACTTTGAAAACTCTGCCAGGTAGCCTAGTACAGCAAGGGCTCCTCACTGTCCTACCTCCCATCATAGCCAGGACACCCTGCTGGCTGCTTGATGCTTGTCATCTGCTGTTTATTATGGCTGCCACTGCCACTACAACCCAAGTTAGGCTAAATGAAGGATGAACTAGGACAAATCTTGGAGAGATAAGGCAGTGGAGACAGCATTGATGTGGCCAGGTGGTCCATGAAGGACATCTGATCTATCAGTGGGGCCCACTGTCCTCTACCAGAGGACAGCTTACTTAACCTTGTTGTGTTGAGACTCTGGTGGTCCTAATCCTGATTCTTACTGCAACCAAATAGCCCTAGCTCCAGCAAAACATTGAAAGAAATCTGAATATTGGGGCAGCTAGGTGATACAATGGATAGAGCACTAGCCCTGGAGTCAGGAGGACCTGAGTTCAAATCTGACCTCAAACACTTGACATTTACTAGCTATGTGACCCTGGGTAAGTCACTTAACCCCATTGCTTAGCCCCCCCCAAAAAAAGAAATCTGAATATTATATGCAATGTTCCACACCTGTGGACCTCCTACCTCAGCAAAGGAAGGAGGAAGCAGGGGATGTGTCTTTTCCTAACTCTTCTTTGGGGCCATGCTTATTCTTTGTAATTTCTTCACAACATTCAGTTTTGAATATTTTTGTGGTTGAAGTTCTTTCTATTCACATTATTAGTCATTGTATATATTGTTTTCTTGGTTCTGCTTACTTTACTCTGTTTATGTAAGTCTATGCTTCTCCATATTCAACAAGTAATAGTTTCTAAGTATTACTTAGCACAGTGATAGTGCATTACATTCATGGTACATATCTTTTTGAAAATTGAAGCGTTTTTTCTCCTGTTTTCTCAGACACAGGAATCAGGCCCTTGAACCCCTCAGAAGGCCTGAGAGAAGTCCTAGGGAAGGGAGTAAGCATAACAACAACAACTAACATTTCCGTATCGCTTACTATGTAACAGTAATCGAGCAAAGTGCTTTACAATTATTATCTCATTTGATCCTCACAAGAACCCTGGGAGGTAAGGGCTATTATTACCCCCATTTTACAGATGAGAAAACTAAAGCAAACAGAGGTTTAAGTGATTTGCCTAGGATCACACTAATAACTGCGTGAGGCTGGGTTTGAACTCAAAGCTTCCTGATTTCAGAGCCTCCAGCTCTGTTCAGGTCTTAAGCCTTGGAAAAGGGAGAGAGAGACAGACAGACAGACAGAGAGACAGAGAGTTTTTGGCCAGCAGCCCTAAGGGTCTTCCCCTCTCAGTTTGGTTTTTGTTTTTTATCAAAGGGGCCATCCCTTGACTCACTTCTTAAAGAGGCCTGTTCACTGAATGGGTGTTTGCCTCACTCAAAGTGAGAACCTGGAAAGACTTAAAAGGGCCAAGATCTCCCATTGCATCCTAGGCCATCTCCAGTTGTCCTGATTGATATTTGGCCACTGGACCCAGATGGCTCTGGAAGAGAAAATGAGGCTGGTGACTCAGCCCTCCCTCACTCACTCAAATCAAAGTCAATTGCAAGTCATGTCATCATCTCCCTGATGTCATTGTCCTGTTCAGGAATGAAGGACAAACCACACAACCACACACAGGGCCTTGAAAGGACTCCTTGTTTGCCCTGAGAGAACATTCAGGGTCTCCCAAGCTCAGGCTTCAAGGACTAGGTCTCTGAAGTCTTTGAACTTAGATGGCACTTGGGGGAAATGTCTCAAAACTCCTGAATAAGTCTTAAGGCCCCTGGGATCCGGTCAGATTGGAGGTTGGTGGTGAGACTCAGGAATGATCCAGAGAGACCGTCTCCACATTTACTAGGGCAACGCTCTCCCCAGTGCCCATTGCGCCATGGGTGAATCCTGCCCCACTCCAGTCTCCCTTGTAAGATGGGAAGTCAGTTAGGAAAAGTTCCTAGAGAGATGTGCCCAAGTGATCCAAGGAGTCAGTTTCACATGTCATCATACTTATCCCTTCAGTTCTCACCACTCCTCCTCCTCCGCCTCCTACTTCATCATGTCTGTTCCTCTCTGCCCATCTCTTTCTTCTTCCACTCCTTACCCCACTACCCCTCCTTCCCTTTTCCTTCTGTTCTCCATCCTCCTTACCCTCTCCCCACCTCCTTTTCATCCTCCACTGTCACCGCCACCTCCCAGTCTTCCGAGATTTAGGGAAGGCCGAGCCAAGTCAATTATATTAGAGAGAGAGAGACACACGCTTTTCGCCGCCACTACCCCCGCCCCTCCCGGCCCTGGCCCCGCCTGGTCCCCTGGGGACGCCCGGGCAGCTGCTCGTAGGTTATGACCAGAGTAACCCGAGGCGGAAACTGAAACTGGGGGAGGAAGAGGAATGGCTATTCCTAGGGTAGAGGGGAGGTGGGAGAGTGACAGCCCCTCCCTGCTCCCTCTCCTCCTGTGGGCCTGAGTCTAGTAATCTTAGTTTATCTTTGCGCCCCGCCTCCGCAGGCACTGTCACGCCGCCGCATCCTGCGCCCCCGGAGCCCAGCTGCTACTCGCAGTTCCCCTAGGCGATTCTTCTCCAGTCCTTTGCTGCTCCTGCTACTGCTCTTGCCTACCCTGCCCACCCAGCCTTTCCCTCCTTTTGTTTTGCCGCCACCTCCTCCGGGAAGTCCTCCCCAGAGGGGAGGGAAGTATGCAGCCCGCCTGCCAGACGGATGCGAACCCTGGGGAGCCAGACTCTGGGGGCCGCAAGCTGGAGGGTCAGGTAAGATTGGGACACTGAGACGTCCAACCCTCCCAGGCTTCCGCCCTCCTTCCCTGCCTACCCTAGTGCTGGAGGCAGCTCAGCCTCGACAAGGAGATGTGGAGCGAGTCCCTCCCCATTGTGGTCGGAGGAGGCCGGTGTAGGGACTGGAGGAGAGAGAAGATCTGGGGCACAGAGTACCTAGAGCACTGCTGGGGAATGCCTTCTTTGAACCTTACCACCCCATTCCCAGGGGGCTCTAAGGAGAGGCGCGAGGTTTGCAGGAAGGGACTCCAGGGAGTTGGCGCCCAGAGAAGCAAGAAGCATTGAGATACCCTCTCCAGGGAAAGGGTGGGAAAGGGAAGGAAGGAATGGCGATCCCTTAGGAATGGACTGGCAACATTTTCCTTCTCTGGACAGTAGCAAGATGAGATCCTGAAAGTCATCAGGTGGTGACAGAATCTTAGCCCAGCCCAGGGGAAGGTGTCACTAGGGACGCTGCCGATGACATCCCCCTTTGTCAGCTCCTTGGGGTTTAAAACCTTCTGCTTCTTTTGCGGCTTACCCCATACCTATCTGGAGAAGATTTCAGGCTCCTAGTAAAGTCCCTTCCCCAGCTACATTTGAAAGGGAAGGAGAAGCAGTGGTGAAGACTGAGACCCAGGATGCCTGGATCCTTTTTGCACTCCCATTGCTGGCTCAATAGAGTAAATTTCTCATCTGATCAGGCTTCACTTCCACAAAATCCAAAATGGGAATTCTGGCATATTCTGGTGTCCTATGTCACTTGATGCCTGAGAAGATTGGGTGTAGGACCAATGTTGGCTAGGGGAATTATCCCTTTGCCTTTCTCCACCCCCTCCCCAGACCTACCGTTGCAGACCAACAAGACAGAGATTCTATACTACTCCTGCCAATAATAATTAACATTTCTATAGCCCATAAAACTGTCCCATGAGGAATTACTTATCTATACTTTATAGATGAGGAAGCACACCCAAGGAGGGTAAGTGGCCAAGTTCACACAGGGACAGAGGGTCAGAGCCAATACTCCAACTCAGGTCTCCAGATTGATAGTGCAGCCTCTCTCCAAAGAGCTCCCAGGAATCAGCTTCTCATGGGACTGTAGCCCCCCAAAAAGGCCTGGACCTGAGGGACAGTGAAATGAAGCAGAGGACATGGATTTTCCCATCATCCCTTTTCAGCCTGAGCCTCCTTTCTATCTACTCTGTTCATTCTCTCCTTGATGCCTTCAAAAACAGTCCTATCTCATCCCTCCAGGAAGCCCCCTCAGAAGCCCCCAAAGCCTTTCACGACTTCTCCCTTCCTGTCCTTTCTTGGCTTAGAGAGTCCCTAGGGGCTGTACTGCTTGACCTGGCTTACCTGTAACACTAGCAGCTTCTCCAAAACTGGGGCCTGATTTTTTCTTTCTTTTGTCTCCCCCTTCCCAGCTTTCCAGGCTCTGGCACAGGGAAAGGGACTCACCAGGCTTATAATATTTAGCCTAAATATATATTATATATTTAATTTATTTAAATATATAATATTATAATATTTAGCCTATTATAACATAATAAGCCAATAAATGTTGTCTTCATCATTGTCTCTGTTTAATGTTGCTGCAGAGAAGCTTGTGTGTATTCAAGCATAATCAATTCATTGTGTGTGTATATGTGCATGTATGTGCATCAAGGTATGTCAGTACACAAAGATATATATAATATGTTTGTGTCCTATTCATCATCCTTGCGTATAGCTGCCCATGCATGTATATCTATAATGTGTAAGTATGTGATTATGTGTTTTTATGTCTATATGGAGGAGGCTACACAGTGGAGTGGAAAGAGGAGGAGGAGGAAGAATAACAAATTTACATTTATATAGCACTATAAGGTTTGTAGACCTTTTACATTAAATATGTTGTTTTTGTTTTTCAGTCATTTCAGTCTTTATGACCCCATTTGGGCTTTTCTTAGCAAAGATACTGGAGTGGTTTGCCATTTCCTTCTCCAGCTCATTTCACAGAAGAGGAAACTGAGGCAAAAGGTTAAGTGACTTGGCCAGGGTCAAACAACTAGTAAGTATTTGAGGCCAGATTTGAACTCGGGTCTTCCTCATTCCAGGCCCAACACTCTGTCCATTGAGTCACCTAGCTGCCCCATGTTAATTATATACATCATTCAGTGCTCA